ACCGTGCTGGGGTAATTCTTGTATTTTTAGTAGGGACGGGGTTTAACCATCTCGGCCAGGCTGGTCTTGAATTCCTGACCTGGTGATCCACCTGCCTCGGCCTCGCAAAGTGCTGAGATTACAGGCATGAGCTACCATGCCTGGCCTCCATTTTTTTTTTCTTTAGGAGACAAGGTCTCATTACATTGCCCAGGCTGGTCTTGAATTCCTGAGCTCAAGCAGTCCTCCCACCCTGGTCTCCTGAGTAGCTCGGATTATAGGCGTGTGCCACCATGCCCAACTTGAACTCTATCCTTTTATATAACTTATCTCCTTGAATTCTTGCAACAGTCCTAAGTGTTAGGTACTCAAATCTCCAAAATGAGGAAATGAAGCAAAAGGGAGAGACTGGATTCACATTCAGGCTCCAAATGACACACATCATCTTTGTCATACCACACTAAAGAGCAAAAGAGCTACTTAGTAGTAAGTCTCTTTTATAAATACACACTTCAAAGCCTTACTTTTAAGGAACTGTTAGATCATTTTAGACCTGTATGTTTGCCTACTATATATGGAAATAAAAACTGGTCAGTGACCTATCTGCTTTAAAACCCTAATGCTATAAAATCGAACTCTCGGCTGGGTGCAGTGGCTTATGCCTGTAATCCTAACATTTTGGGAGGCCGAGGTGGGTGGATCACCTGAGGTCAGGAGTTCAAGACCATCCTGGCTAATATAGTGAAACTCTGTCTCTACTAAAAACACAAAAAGTTAGCAGGGCATGGTGGTGGACATCTGTAATCCCAGCTAGTTGGGAGGCTGATGCACGAGAATTGCTTGAACCCAGGAGGTGGAGGTTGCAGTGAGACTCAGATCACGCCATTGCACTCCAGCCTGGGCGATAAGAGCAAAACTCTGTCTCAAGAAAAAAAAAAAAAAAATCGAAGTCTCCTGGCTTTAACACATGTCAAATGTAATAACCTTGAAAAGAGGAAGAGGGTATTGTAAATTCTATGGGACAACTCCTTAGAAAGCATGGTATGTCATATGTAGACAGCTGAAGTTCTTAACTCTTCTTTTTTAAAATTAGAGTTGGTTTACAGAAAAGTGATAGAGAATTAATGTTTCTCCGTCAAACAACTATGACTCAAAAGTGAGTTCTTAGACTTTGAAATTCATCCTGAACAACAGTGTATCATCTGTATCGCAAAGCCACCAGCAACTGTGAATTGTGATGAGAATAAAGGAGACAGTGCTGGGAGCAGTGGGAGACCCCATTTTGATGGGCACAAAGCAAGTGCATTCATTTTGGCCAATGTAAGGACCCATAAGCTTTCCTCTTATGATCCTGCAAGCTTGCTTTTCTCTCACTGTTCCCTTTCCTTCCTTTGTGTCTTTGTCTTATTCTTTCCATTACCCCTTGTTATGGACTGAGTGTTTGTGTGCCCCCAAAATTCATTTCAATATCCTAACCCCCTATGTGTTGATATTTGGAGGCTGGGCCTGTGGGAGGTGATTAGGTTGTGAGGGTGGAGCACTCAACATTCACAAATGAGACTAGTGCCCTTATAAAGAGCACTGATGCAACTGAGAAGAAGGTTCTCACCAGAACCCAACCGTGCTGGCATCCTGATCTCAGACTTCCAGCCTCCAGAACTGTGAGAAATAAACGTATGTTGTTTATAAGCCACCCAGTCTACGGTACTCTGTTAAGGCAGCCTGAACTGATGAAGAAACCCCTAGTTCTATCTATACGGTGGGCCCTAAAAACAAAATCAAGTAATAACAACAAAATGGAATTTAAAAAGATGTATTAAGTGCTGGCTCTGTGAGGCACTATGCTAAGAGCAACACATGTGTTCACTCATTCAACCCAACAACAACTGTAGGAAGCAGTGTCACTATATTATAGCCAAGGAAACTGAGCAGAGAAAGGGTATGCAACCTGCCCAGGGCCACAAAGCTCTCATGATAGAGCATGATTTGAGTTCTGGGCAGGCAAAGCAAACACGTGGTACAATTCTAGGGGGTACAAATGTATCGTGATGCAAATCTACACGTGGTACAAATCTATCGTGATGTTCTGTGGAGTTGCCCTCCAGAGGCACTTGGAGCTGTGTGCTCTAGCAGCCTTTTGGATGAGCCAGGAACTTAACTGTTAGGCTATACTGTTACTCTAGACCTTATTCCTATGTTGAGGGATGGACAGGCCTACATTTGTGAACCTGTACCTGGGGCCTCTAGTGACAGAAGCCACATGGAAACTGGTCCTCATGCTGCTCCAGGCACTAGGTCTGACCCCTATCAACAGGAACTCATTTATCTTAAGGGTTCCTCACTGACTCTTTTTAACACTTCTTTGCCCTTCCCAGGACTACTGCCAAGGTACAGCCAGGTTCCAACTTCAGGGGGAGTGAGCCTAGAGGGTGGGGCCTGAGCGGTCAGTTGCGGAGGGAGGAAAGGCACAAGCACTGCCTTTTCTGAGTGTCTCAAATCTTACTAATGTCAAAGTCTCAACCACTATTATTATTACTAGTACTGAAGTTTTAAAGGCCCACTTTTTCCAAAATGGGCTCAGAAAGGGGAACCTTCCCCTGCTACTGCCCTCATCCCTCCATCCTTATGCCATGTTCCCACCTTGGTTTGCTACGTTTGGGCAAGAAAAATGAATTCCCAGTTTTAGTCAGTTCATTTCCGGTTGTGCTTTGTGAGGAGCCCAGCGGCACTGAGTGGTAACAACAGTTAATTCGTTCCCCTTTCGAGATAAGGTATTTCTGTATCCCCCTCATCCCTAGGCCTCAGGTCAGGAGCTTGAGGGTATGAATGAGGCCATATTCACCTTAATTTCTTAATTTCTGTGACTCATAATTCCCTCTGGTATGGTTCCAGGGCCCCCTTACTATGTATACATTTCTAGGAGCTTCTGTGAGGTCTGTCACATATGCTTAAGATCAAGTCTGTGCCCTTTGAGTGTAGCTACTCTCTCCTGTTAATCTGTGTCTGGCATCTGCTGGGGTGGCTGGGCAGCTGCCCTGACCACTGAGCACCCAACCATCTGTTGTCAGACACAACAATTTCCACTGGTACCTGATGCTGCTCTTCTGGGAGACAGAATGCTGCTCCACCTGTGAGGCCAGCTCATACGTGACCTCAAGCTAAAAAAGCTTCCAGGAACCAAAATAGCACTGCATTCTGCCCAAACAGCAATGTCAGTTCTTGCTTATTACAAAATTGGGGGTTGAGGCTAGTCCCTCTTGATGGGGGTCAGATCTAGTGCCTGAAGCAGCGTGAAGACCAGCTTCCATGTGGCTTCTCTCACTAGAGGCCCCAGGTACAAGGTCATAAATGTAGGCTTGTCCATACCTCAACATAGGAAAGTGCATAGAAACAGAGGGATCCAGTTCCACACCTCCAACTCAGTTTAGCCTCATTTATATTGAATTTGAATTTTGGCAGAAGAAATCAGTTACTCAAAGTATTTTAGCATACAGGAATTTTTATTGTTCATCTCTCTTTCTCTCTCTTTTTTTTTTTTTTTTTTTTTGAGACAGTCTTACTCTGTTGCCCAGGCTGGAGTGCAGTGGCACAGTCTCAGCTCACTGCAACCTCTGCCTCCTGGGTTCAAGCGATTCTCCTGTCTCAGACTCCCAAGTAGCTTGGATTACAGGTGCTCACCACCACGCTAAGCTTTGTATTTTTAGTAGAGATGGGGTTTCGCCATGTTGGCCAGGCTGGTCTTGAACTGCTGGCCTCAAGTGATCCACCCACCTCGGCCTCCCAAAGTGCTGGGATTACAAGAGTGAGCCACCACTCCTGGCCCTATTGTTCATTTCTTGATCAATATCAAGAACAAAACTGGTTAACCATATATGTACTATAAAATGATAACTGGAAGTCATCACCAATAATATTTTGAAAGAGAAACATGAAGAAGAGAATCAATAATTTAACATTCATTGAAATATAAGTTCCACTTGATGACTTTCAGAAAAGATGACATTAACAATGATACCAGAATCAACTCTAATGTGGTGTCCACAAACAGAAACAGACATCTGGACAAGATAAAGTTAAATTTCAACCAAAGTGTACTCACTAATAACTTAATAAGAGCTCCTTAGCACATTATAGGTTGGAGCTAAAGGAAGACACTTGAATCCAATGAAGAATGTTTTAGTTTTGAGAATATGCTAATTTTCTTCTGGTAACAATTTTAGAAAACATAGGTTTTCTTTTCCAGGCCATTATTTTAATGAATCAATTGGGGTTTCAAGAAATAGTCAAAAGAGTTCAATTTGGTTTCAGGTTCAGCAAAATGAGATCATGCATTCTGTTTTTGGTTCAGTTGGGGTCAAGTTCTGTGCCTAAAACAGACTAATAGGAATTGAGATAATTTTATTTTTATGCACTTGACTTCTCTCATCTTTCCTCTTATTTTTCTTTCCCAAACATTTATAGATCCCTGTGTTTTGATCTCATTGAACTTTTTTCTGTATTGTATATTAACTTCTCTCCCCTCCCAAACTGAGTTTCTTCTCAGCTCTCTCAGTTCTTTATTGGACTACTGAAACAATGTTCCTTCCTACACACAAGTGAGATATTGATGAACCAACATGCTACTCCTTTTATTTATGCCTTCACTCTTATTAAACTAAATGATGACATATTATATCATGCTAATAACACATGTGTGGAACCAGAATGGGAAGCGACTTGAAAGTAACACCATCTCTCAAAACACAAATGCCCAGAGCAATGCTCAAATGAGTATAAGCACATAGTTAAATGGTTAAAAATAATGTACATCAGTAAAAAAATGTAAACCAGTAAAAATTTTCCAAATAACAGCTTAGACAATTTGTGAGATCAATGATAGAAATGATAATGTAGAGAAGAAAGAATTTATTTCTTTAACATTTTCAAATTGCAGCATGAAATTGGTGTTGGTGTTATATTGACTTTTGGCAGAAATGGTTTCTTCCTAGACACATGACGAATAAGCTCCAGATCTTTCTTACCTGTTATGGTGGCTTTGTTGATGGATGGTTGGTTGCACATGGGTGATCTTCTGACAAAGACAGAAAAATACAAAGCAGTAAATATGTGGGGCTTGTTGATTTGATCGCTCTCTGAGTCATTTCAGATACAGCCTTTTACTTTAAAGAATTATTTTTAAGTTTGGACATGCAAATGATTTCTTTCAGACCAGCCAGACAAGTCCCTAGGCGTTCTTTGTATTATGGCTCAGATCACACATGTCCAAAAAGAAAACAGTAAAATCTCACAGTGATTGACTTGGGGTAAATAAAGCTGATGTAAGTGTCACTGGGACATGAGAGAAGAGGAAATTCTTACTGATTTTATTGACTGAAGCCAGGGCGTACAGACTCTGAATTTGAAAAAGCAGTCAATGTATAATTGCTTTCCCTAATGCAGGGTTAAGAAATTTTTATTGTTGGCATATATTCTCATGATTGCCTGTACATTATTAGAAGTGAATGATTTATTGTAAACTATCTTATAATTAGAGAAGCTATTTGAACTTTTTCCTGTTTCCTTATATTTCCTTTCTTATATTCTTATATTTCTGATATCTTTGTTAGAGAGGTATATAAATGGCTTGTCCAAATAGATACAGTAGAGGCTTTAGAAATACTCTAAGCCAAAGGTACTTAAATAAATTCTATCTTGTATTCTCTAAGTTTTCAGATGTTTGCCAAGTTCCACAAAATGACTATAAACCCCTTGAAGAAAAAAGCATGTTGTCTGATTAACTTATATTCTCTACACAGCCTAGTACAATGCATCCAGTATTCAGTCAGTGCTTAATAAATTATGTTGAAAAGAATATCATTTATAAAGTATCCATCAACATTTTTGAAATATAACTTTATAAAGTTATTACTTGTAATTGACAGCTTTTAAAATATAATGATTTAAAAAACTTTTAGATACATTCAAAGATGTCTGATACATATATAAGGTATATAATAATTATATATATATATTGCCTCTACCAATGGCTAACACTTAATAAACACTTCCTGTGGATCAGACATTGCAAAATAAGCACTTTAAATGAATTATCTCATTTAATCCTCATGATAAGCCTTAAGGAAGTAAGTGTCATTGTTCTCATTTTACCAATGACAAAACCAAAACTTTGAGAATTTGAAGAACTAGCTTTAAGTAACAAAGGTGAGATTTGAACTAAATGAATGTGATCCTAGGGCCTATGCTCTGCTTTGTTGCCTTAGTTTTAGATGTTTTTGTGGAACCTGTATGCACAGCCTCACATATGTGCCGATAGCATCAGGCTCTTCAAATATGCCTTGCTGAGATGATGAATCTCTTAGCAGGGTGCGGGAAACTTGGGGAAAGCAGCCTGGGATTTTGTAAATTCTCACTAGTTCCACTCAGCCTCTGGCTCCCTTTCATTGCTCTTAAGTTTATTGGTATCAGTTTGTGATTAAAATTTTGTGTTTGATTGAAAATGCACCAAATTTTACTTCTGAATTCTTTTAGTTTTTTTAATTATAAAATAAAATGGTTAGGGGAAAAATGGGGAGAATTTAAACTCGATAAACTAAAAGGTTAATATTTTAAGCAACTGCTCTGAAATAGCTCTGGTCTATATACCAGTAATTATCTTCTTCTTTTTAAAATTAAAAAAAAAAATTTTCTGAGACAGGGTCTCACTCTGTTGCCCAGGCTGGAGTGCAGTGGTGTGATCATAGCTCATTGCAGCCTTGAACGCCTGAGCTCTAGTGATTCCCCCTACCACCTCAGCCTCTCAAGTAGCTGGGACTACAGGTGCATGTCACCATGCTTGGCTAATAAAACTTTATTTTTTTAAGAGATGGGGTCTTGCTGTGCAGAACAGAGTGTTACCTGTTACCTTCTTGCTAAGAGTTTATCATTCAAATAATCGATATCCTGATTATTCCTTTTTAGTTCTTGCTCTGTGAAAACTTAGAAACCATTGATTTTGTCTGGGAATGGTATGAAATTAATATTTCTACACTACTCTACAGTTTTGGAAAACCAAATGGTTGACTTGTTACTGATTATCTCCTTTTACTGTCAATCCTACAATTAACTGGCACTCAGGAACTTGATATCTGAACAGGTAATGGCAAGCAGAAAATATTAATCCTTTGATCCAGGGTTGCATCGATACCTCCTTTAATGACAAATGAGCCAGAACTCACTTGTGGAATAAAAAATCACAAAGGCAAAACAAAAGCAGAAAACCCAAGGTGACAGGAACCAGTAGTGTGTTAACAAGTCAGCAATGTGTGGGCCAGGTGCAGTGGCTCATGCCTATAATCTTAGCACTTTGGGAGGCCGAGGTGGGCGAATCACAAGGTCAGGAGATCGAGACCATCCTGGCTAACACGGTGAAACCCCGTCGCTACTAAAAATCCAAAAAATTAGCCAGGTGTGGTTGTGGGCGCCTGTGGTCCCAGTTACTCTGGAGGCTGAGGCAGGAGAATGGTGTGAACCCGGGAGACAGAGCTTGCAATGAGCCAAGATCATGCCACTGCACTCCAGCCTGGGCGACAGAGTGAAGAGACTCCGTCTCAAAAAAAAAAAAAAAAAAAAAAAAAGTGGCTTGTGCAAAGCAGCACATGCCTTCCACAAAATCCAAGGATGAGCTTGGAAATGTTCTAGCGGCTCTGTGAGTGCCTAGCGAGAAAGTTCTGGTTCCTCCAGGGTCATCATGTGATGAGGCAGAGTTACAGCACTTTGTTCTCACTGAACAGAATTGAGTTTAGCCGTGTATAGATTGAATCCTACTATTCTGATACCCAAAGAAGCCGATTTGGTTTGAATCAGTAATGGAGGCACAAATTTGCATTGACCAAAAGGAAGACCACAGTGGCCTTTACTTAGAGTCTGCCAGATAACACTGTTTGGTTAGATGTCACCCTGGGCATTGTCAAGGCAGAGAGGAAGTTCAGGCTTAAGCTATGATTTTCTGTTTTCTTCTAGCTCCTCCTTTCCATTTCAATCTGTTCTGTCCCTGTATGTCAGCTGAAAACTTCTGTCTTGCAGAGAAACAGGCCTCAGATCATCTCTGGAGCCTGACTGATCAACTATTTGCCTGCCTGCCACAGATTTAAATGCTGGTATCCAGGTGACTATATATAAAGGAAGCATAAACGGAGTTTCTTGTTCACCTTTTAAAGACAAAACTCCCAGTTTCCTGGGTAAAATTCAAGACTAAAAAGTTTGGGAGTGACAACCAGTAACTTCATTTCTTCCGCAGAGCTGAGACTTTCTAAGGGGGAGGTGACTGATCTTATAAGCTACCAAATCCCCAAAGCCCAAGGGGGCCGCTGAGGTCAGTGTGATATTGTGCGGCCATGTTACATGGAAAATGTGATTGGTAATGAAGGGGTACCTCAAAGCATGCCCTCAGATTTTACATGCTGAGTTACTACTTTACCCTTTCAGTGAATAGGCCTTTGCAGACTGGTAAGACTCTGTATTATACTAGGCACATGGAATACAAATGTGAACCAACTACATTCCTACTCACTGGGAACTGACAGTGTTCAGGAGCATCCCAGTAGACAAACAGGCAACAGGAGCACAGAGAGATACGTGCTAACACAGGAATCAGGTACGAGGTACAACCAGACAGAGATGGAAAGGCACGTCACTTTGATTAGGGCTTGTGAGTGTGTCTATGTTGGGTATTGCCAGGGGCAGTGCTCCAAAAGGAATTTTATTTAAGCTGCAATCCAAAGAATGAATGACAATTAGCCCAGTAGATGAAGAGAGGAAGAAGAAGATGAGAAGTGTTCGGGCTGAGAGAATAGGACTGTGAAAATTCATTATCTGGAAAAACAGAATCTAATGGGTTCCATTCCAATAACTTGCATTGTTACATTTATATTGATTTTTTAAAACTTTTTTTTCTATCACAAGAAGTACTTGAATAATGACCAGAGCTATTTTTAATAATAAAAACTGTGAATTTGGGAGGTCAATTTTATTATTATGAAATGGAAAGTTCAGATTTTTCATTGTTTTTAAGAAGTACTAACTACTATGAAATGTTATACACTTAGATACGTTGTAGTTCCGTCCGGGCGTGGTGGCTCACGCCTGTAATCCCAGCACTTTAGGAGGCCGAGGCGGGCGGATCACAAGGTCAGGAGATCGAGACCATCCTGGCTAACAGGGTGAAACCTCGTCTCTACTAAAAATACAAAAAAATGAGCCTGGTGTGGTGGTGGGTACCTGTAGTCCCAGGTACTTGGGAGGCTGAGGCAGAAGAATGGCGTGAACTCAGGAGGTGGAGCTTGCAGTGAGCCAAGATCGCGCCAGTGCACTCCAGCCTGGGCGACAGGGCAAGACTCCATTTAAAAAAAAAAAAAAAGTTGTAATATACTTATATTCACTATCCTCTTAATATTGATTTAAATGTTTTTTTTTTCCTTCTGGAAAATTATTTGAAGTTTGTATTTTAATATCTTATTTCTTATTAATAACAGATTTTTTTTTAAAAAAAGGACATTGAAATAACAGCAAACCAGTTTTCCATTTAATATTGAAAAATTACTTTTATCTTTTTAGATTTTTTTGCCTTTATCAAGAACCTGAAATGATAATCATTTCCCATCTTTCAAATGCTTTCCCTGTTGTCATATAAACCACAATTCTATTAATTGCTCCATGAATGCTGCTGATCTGAAAGTCAGTAACAGCAGGAGAATCAAAGGTCTTTGCTATGAGATGTCACTTCTCCAAATCATCGTTGTCCTGAGAGGATGACTTTCATCTGATCTTAAGGTGTGATGAGATTATTCACCCACGGTTAATTTATGAAGTAAGCCAAAACTATAAAGTTACCCTGAGTGTAAATAACTGGGCAGAGGACTGATCATGCCAGATGATTTCTGACAGATGGAATCACCATATTTATTTGTCATACTGCTTCATTTCTGATATTAGAACCATCACCACAAAGTATTTATAGAAAATTAACAGGACATCATATGACTTAGTATACACGGTTAGACAACGTGGCAACAACACAGAGAAGTCTAACATATTGCCTTGGGTTCAATCAAGTTGAGAAAACTTATATAAAAGTTCAGCAAAAAGAGGGGAAAAAAGGATATCTTACTTGCTAGGTGCTCGATCTTGCAAATTAGTTAATGCAGCAAAGTTGTTTCGTACAGTTCGCAGACTGGCCAAGACCTACAACAAGAAAGGATTCTTGAAACTTCTTGAACTAAGGCCATTTTAAATACACTTGAAAATGGTTTGTTAAGAGAAAACTTGATATTGCTTGAAACTTAGTTTCATATACCACTAAAGAATCTCCCAACACTTAGTGAAGTTTGTAGGTATCCACAGGAAATCCAGAGAGGCCAGACTGCAGGGATTTTCCAGAAATCTCTCCCTATTGTCTGTGAATATGGTGACAGTAGCAGCAGTTTCCACAGTATTTCTGGGTTCCTTAGTCACCAAGACAATATTCCAGGTGATATACAGATAACATGATTGCATTTTATGCACATTTCAAATAGTATAATATAAAATGCTAATAAATCTCACTTTAGGGATAAAAAAGTTCCCTACTCCCAGATCTCTTCAAAAATTGATTAAGAATCCCATAATTTTAAGTTGGCAATTGAAGTGAATTTTAAACTGTTTTTCTACCTTTGCTACATGGCTACTCTAGCTAGTAAGCAGACATTGCTTTCTTTTGTTAAGGTTATCTGAATTGTGCATTGTAAGAAACTCTCAGGGATGCATTTCCTATGTAAAATGCTACTGCCCTGTACATGCACAATGCTTGGCACACAGAAGATACTCAATAAAAATTGGTTGACTAAATGAATACATAGACACAACATGCCCACACACATGACAAGGCAGGACCAATAGGCATCACTATCTCTAACAGTCACTTTTTCTAATTCCATGTGGAACTAAAAAGTAGCCAACGGACTGGAAGTGAGCCTAGGAGAAGGTTCCAAGAGCCTTTTCTCCTTCTTCCCTCCTCTCTTTTTCCTGAAATGGGCAAGTTTCCCCAGGGTCAAACCCATATTAGATGGGATTATAGGTGATTTGGGTGACAGCTAGAGTGCTAAGTTTATGTAAAACACAGATTCCAAATGTCTGAGTAGGTATTATATAACAACCCAGACTGTCTGGCTCTGTTATGTAGTAAATGTGTGAACTTGGACTAGATATGCAACCTCTTTGTACCTCAGCTTCCTAACCTGGAAAACTGGGATGGTGATACCTACCTCGTAGAATTGTGAGGAGTATATGGAATGACAGGTTTGGTGCCAAGAACAGTGCCTGGCAAATAGAAAGCTTTCAGCCAATATTAGCCCATGATGGCAGCGTTACTTTTGACTTAATGACTTGGCATGCACATGGGAAATTTACTTAATGCTTAGCATTGGTAATTCAAGAGTCCAATTTTTTAATTGCTCCAAGGGTTCCAGAGTTGTTCTCAGAAATTTTTCATCTGGCACGGACCTAGACTAAAATCAGTCTAATTTTTTTTTTTAAAGACAAAAATGTCCCAGACTCTGTTTTGTTGTTGTTGTTTTTGATTATGAAATTGATGTTCGTTTGTATAAGTCAATGGAGAGCTGTGTACACTTTGGGACAGTGACGTACAGCATTTTCCCCTAAAGGAGTTAATGCTGCTTCCTAAGAAGCCAACCGTGATTAACTCAGTCACTGGAAAAACCTGGCTCATTATCTCATATAAACAACCCACAGCTCTGAAAGGTCACGCTGCCTATGATGGAGTATTCAAATAGCCAACTGCTGACATCAGACCACGATGTCTTTCATTAGGCATGAAATCTTGAATGATGCAGAAGTAAATCGGATAAATGATCCACTGTCATTAAATCATGCAGGCTTAATTTATGTTTTAAGAAGTGAATATCAAACACACTAATGAAGGCTTTAAGATAAAATCATTGCACCAGCTAATTGATCCCTTTCCTAGGCAAAATGTTTAACTCCAGAATTCTGAGAGTTTTATTCCCATACATAATAGTTAAGTTCATTGCAGTTGACAGCTGGGTAAATAGGCATAGAGCTGCAGGCAACTTATTTTCTATGGCCATTTGAAAGGAAACATCAGTTACGAAAAGAAAAATTTCTGTAGAGGAGTTTTTGCCTCTGTTATAATACTAATTTAATAAATAATCTAATTTAATATTATTTTGTCTTGGTTTTTAGTTTAAAATTTATTTTTGTATAATTTATATCTTGACATGCTTCAGAATTTAAACAAAAGAGTACAAAGCAAAAAGTCTCCCCTTCAATGATTGAGATAAAAATCAAAATTATTGTTATTTCTGAAAAGAGGCAATAGAAACAGATTAACCTGGGGAGGGACATTCAGGGAACATTAAAATACTGATACTGTTCTATTTCCTAAACTGTTCATTTTAGTGTTATTCTTTATATTTTACATAATTACCAGCTATATTCTCTTATATATATGAAATACTTCAAAATAAAAAGTGAAAAAAGAAATCTGTCTACCAGTCTGTCCTTCAGACATTCAGTTGCCTGGCCACTAGCAATCAGCTTTTAGGTTTTCTATCTTAAAGTTGATTTTTGACAAACACCGTTGCAATAAATAACCTGGTAGAGAAGTTATTTCCTATGCATGCCAGTATTAGATTATTTATTGTGTGTGTGGATTTATTTATTTATTTATTTATTTTTGCAGTAGGACAAACAGTATTTTATAAATTTTATGTTTGGTGTTAACTATTATCTTCTACAGTATGACATGTATGCTATTTATTGGCAGAAGTGTAAATAACATTTCTAGATAAATCTTATAAGGGAGTGTTGTCTTGGGCCTCGCTGACTGACTCTTGGTGTCGTCATCACTGTTATCACTGTGTTAGTCTTTTAAGCTTTCACTTTCATTGCAGGGCACAAAGAGGGAGCATCTGTTATTGTAGGCTGTGGGGAGAACTATAAACCGTTTTACTGAAGCCCCTAAATTAAAATTTCATTGATCTTTGCTTTGTTCAGGGCAGTCCTCACTTCCCCTGAATTCGACTCTTTAAGAACTGTAGTAAAAGCTTTAATGCTCCTTTTACAATTGTCCTTACTTCTTAATGCTTGCTAACCAAAAAGGTCCCTGAGGTTTCTTCCACAGAGCTCATTGGTTAGAAAATTAAGGTCATTTCTTTCTCTTCTGCCCCACCAAGCAAAAGTATAGCCAGTAAATGTCAAAAATACATTAGGAATCATGAGAAATATATATTCCTTAGGAAAGAAACACTGGTAGTTTTACAGAAAAATTTTAGACAAAGATGGTTCATGTATTAGCCCATGGGGAAGAATTCAATGTTATTTACATACACTATTCTCGGATCTCCTTAGGTGCTTCTAAACATTTATTAAACAGTAGGAATCACTGAAAATAGCAGGAAAATGCAGTTATCATTTAACACTTAAACAGCTGAACATTATAGCCTAAGAAAAAGAGGAAAATAAATGGTTTTGAGGATTGTTTTTCGTAACCATATACACTTGCTAACACTAGATGGCGGTAAAATACAGACCATGAGGTGGAGGTGCCACTGGCGGTGGAGACAGCGGGAACCCGCGCTGGAAGAGATTCATCACTTCGGTCTTACTCCGGAAAAAGCCGGAAAAAGCCGGAGTCAAGTTATGCTTATTTACAAAATAGAAAGGTCATTTTTATGAAAAGAAAATCTCTTTCCAAGTTATGTTTTGTTTAAACCGTATGAAATTGCTGGTTTGTACACCAGAAATGGTTGATAGACAATTTTATACGGTTCGATCGTAAAAAGAACTTAGATGTCCAGAAGACAGTAGCTGTAATTTAAACTAATTAAGGCTAAAGAAAAGCTAAAAAATCAGCACCAAATGAAACGAGGTGACTATCTTCTTTCACAGCCTGGCAGGGAGGGCCTAGCACAGTCTGCAAGCTTGGGGATGGTGATGAGGCCACAAGATTGTTGCTGCTGGGTGAAGTGGCTGAGGGACAGGCAGGGATATGAGAATATTGGTTATATTTTATTACCAACTAAATGGTAATATTGTATAGTATTAATAACTACTGCATTTTTTATCCTAGAAGTCTCCCAGGTGCTTTACTTTGGTTAGAGTAAAGGTAAAAAGATGTAGTTGTTGTTCCTACCCTGTATTTTTTTTATTTTTATTTTTTTTGAGACGGAGTTTTGCTCTTGTGCCCCAGGATGGAGTGCAATGGCGCGATCTCGGCTCACCGCAACCTCTGCCTCCCGGGTTCAAGTTATTCTCCTGCCTCTGTATTTTCAAATCAGGAATATCTCCTTAGTCTGAAAGATGTGAGGGTTTCTCCAGGGATCCAGCATAATGCTTGGGTTTCCCTGTTTTCTCTTTCATCAGAGTCTACTTCATTTAACATTACACACTTCCACATGAGAATTCTAGTCAACTTAGAGTTTTACTACAGGGTAGTTGTGTCACAAATCCTGGGATCACTGAGTCCGGAGGCAGCTGACTGCAGAGAAGGGTTTCCTACAGTTTATCAGCATTGTGCCTCCTTAGTGCTCCTTGGCCCCCAAGAACTCTGGCCAAGAAAAAACGGTCAGTTGCTGAGTGCACTCCAGTGGGATTCCTCTCTAGCCTTGGTGCCTAAGGAAACACCCACACCAAAAGATTTCAAGACAAACACAAGAGAATACTTTAACAATTGAAATAAAAAAAATTTAAAGCTGTCACTTTCTCTGAGGACCAAAGGGATTCTGAGCTTATAAGGGAAAGCATAAGAAATCAGAGATGGAAGAGAGTTTAGGTTAAACACCAGCAAGAATTTCTCGCCCTGACAGTGTTTTAGACAACAGGATAGACTGTGGAGAGATACTATAGGATCCTTTCTGAAAATTACATCTATCCAAGATGTTTCAGGCTTTAGCCTGGTCAAAAATGTTCAATATATCTTTGCATGGCTTCCTAAATTCCTCTATTTTAGGATTTTATTCTTCTCACGTCAAAGGAAACCATGATTTGGAAAGACCAGGGAGAGATCCTTTTGTGTTTTGGAGATGGACTCAGGCATAAAGAAATGAGTTCTCAAGAAGAGGCAGAAGATGAGATGGATTTGAGAGAGGATCTTCGAACACTTTCGACAGGGGAGGGCCATTTTTAGGAGCCATAGGAAAGAAAATATGCACAGAAAAATAAATCTAAAGGGTATGAAGGAAAATGTCAGTAGCAGTTATTTTGGGGTTTGGAATTTTAGAAAATTTTCCTTTTCTTTTTCTTATTATTTTTCTAAACTTTTTATGCAAAAAGTTTTTATTTCATGTTTTTTTTTTTTTTTTTTTTTTTTGAGAAGCATAGCTTTTTCATTAGGGTTTAGTGTAAAATTCCAATCTTCAAAGCATGCTAGGAAAAGTGGATAATTCTTTGGCCTACTTGGCTAAATATTTTTCTGAGTGACTTTTCTAAAATCAGTTGTTTTCTGTCCTTTGGTGAAAGCAATTATGATATATCAGGACAAATTAGATTGGTATCACTTCAAGTGACATAAATATCTCATGTTTTTAGTTTTAAATAGTTAATGCTAAAATAGCATTTACCGTTAAGTGGTAAGTGTTCTACTTTGTATTAAAGAAAATTTGAGGAGTTAGTTATTGGGTCAGCAAAATATGCCAATCACGTCCAACAGGGTTTAAGAGAAGGCTACTTAAACGTACTCACTGGGACTTCTCTCTTACCCACCTCCCCATAGATGCTCTACCAGTGGTGAAACTCTTCAGGTTTAACAGTTTTTTGTTTTGTTTTGTTTTTAATTCTAGTGGGGCTTTCCAGGTCTTATACTCCAGTAAAAGGCCATTTGTGATAATCGTGATGAAGCCACTTAAAAAAAAAAAAAATCAGCAGCCTCTTGAGTAATGACCACTCTCTACAAGGTATTGTGAGTCACTTAGCTAATCATAAGCAAAGTCTTAATATATTATGGGATTATTTTTGGGCATCAGATATGCCTATAAATTATACAGAGTTGATTTATATTCCAAGTTCTATTTTCAAGTATACTAAGTACACATCTTTTTTATTTAAATAGCTTACTAATATGGACTAAATGGTTTGCCAAATTTCCTAT